GTGGGAAGAGGCGAAAAAAAAAAAAATGACAATTTGCTAAATTGTCGTAAATAAAAGTCACGGATACCGCCGTAACGTGAAATTTATTATGTATGCAGCGTGTACGTGCACACAACTGTGCTAATGCACACGCACATGCATGCAGCACCAGTCATGACTGATCGATGCCTCTGCTGCACAACCCGCTTGTTAGGGGCGGGGAGGGAGGGGGGCAGCTCGCGCGGGAGAGAAAGGGGCACGACGGGATGGACAAACGGGGGAGAGATAGACGGAGGTTAGACCGAGGAAACAAAGCATGCAATCGGAACGTTAATTACATTAAAATGAATCGGAGATCGGGCTAATCGAAATTGTCTTGCGTCGGCGCCGAACAATCGTACCGTAATGCGGAATCCAATTTTCCAAGTTAGATCACGATAAACCGCAATATCGTCGCCGAAGAAAATAGTCGATTTTCTTCCGAATCGGATTAAAATGCGCCCGGCTCTCTCTCTCTCTCTCTCGACCTTTGCGGTACACGCGACGGCGGACCGATGAGCGCCGTCCGTTATTTCCGTCGTGTCGTCAATTGTTTATCATTATTTATTTATCTCGCGCAATCGCTGCCCCTCGTCGACAATCGCGTCTCGCCCGCCGTCTCCGTCTTGTTCGTTCTCGGCGCGCGTTCGTCTCCGTCGCTGCGCCGTTCAATATCTCAGACAGCTTCTAATACGAGAGCGCGCGTTGTTCGGCATATACTTCCAAATTGTGCTCGCCGGCTAATAGGAATTTTGATTGACTGAATTAAATAGTTATTGGAGATCCGCGTTTTGCTCCTTCTTTTTCGCATCGATTAACTTTATTAGGACCCCGCTCGTTTGTGGAACATTAAAGGTGGGAAGAGAAGAGGACAAAGAGGGGGGGGGGGGAGAAGGTGGACGAGTCCTCGCGCGGCGTGCGAGCGGATTGCGGGAGGACGATAAGGGCGGGGAGGGGAGGAGCGGCGGAGGATGGGGTGAAAGGAAGTTCACCGAGGCAATTTGTTGTTAAGTCGGAACTCATTTTCTAGAACCCACACCCGGCTAATGCCGCGACTGGGCCTGCAGGCCACCTCATTACCAGACCTAGTCAATTTCAATTTAATTTGCCAGTCGGCTGTTTCGCGGAAGGCAGCGTGTGAGGAGCGGGGAGGGGGGGGGAGAGGGAACGGAAAGAGTGGCGACCCCATAGCTTTTTAATTAAACTGGAAACCGAGGTCGCGATTAATCATTATTATCTAGAAAAATTAAAGTTTGCGGCGAGAATGTGTTTCGCTTGTTGTGCGCGCGTATGCGTACGTATAACAACGCACGCCAGTTTTTACGCCGCTCTTGCACTGTTGTGCACTGTTGTGCACTGTTGTGCACTACGCGCGCTTTACAGTAAAGAACCGCGCGAATTTATTTATTGCGTTGTGTCATGCGACATTTTTAAAAGTCGTAACCTGGCCACGGCAGCGCGCGCGTGCGACTTGGCGGAGGGAGATAACAAGTTCGGTTTATCTGATGAACGCTCGCGTTACATACTTTATTAGCGTTATTAGCGGGCGCAGAAATGAATTCCAATTGAATCCATTAATTGCGACGACGCACGACTTTGCTTACGAGAGACGCAGCTTTCGTTCCTCCCGCATCAACTTTGCGATCATCAAAGAAGCGTGCGCGACGAGGAGTGGAATCGCGTTTAAGGTGCAGATCAAATTGAAGGCGCGCGCGCGCACACACAAAGGTTTCGCCAGTCTTGCCAGTTCAAAATTTGGATTTTTAATCGCACAAAGCGCTAATGAATCCATTTAGTCTTGCGAGAGGGCAGCCCGCCCGCTCGACCCTCGCTCGATATAGGATCTTGGATAAACGGACAAACGAACCAAATAATTACGCTAATTAAAGCCGCCCAATTTGTGCTTTAGACAATTAAAGTGCCGAGGGTAAGGTAGTCTAACTCATTAACAGGCGGGGGTTGCCCACACGCGCGCGCGCACTCCCGTGTGTGAATACGTCGTTTCGGCATACGCGCGCCCGCACGTCCTTGTATTTCTCTCTTATTCCCTCTTGTTAGCGACAGAACGCCGCGCCGCTGTATGCGGCAAAGGGGCACGCATAATGAGCGAGGGTGCCTGAGCGAGAGGGGCGATCCGAGGAGTGGCGGGAGCACTTGATCACGAATCTTTCGTGAAAAAAATCGAGCAGCGCGCCGCTCGATATAAGTTATTGCGATATAATAGAGAAAGAAACCCGAGGAGAAAAACTCTTTGTTCGTCACAAATATAAGTATATTAAATTTACAAATTTGATTCGTGTGTGTGTGTGTGTGCCACTCTCGTGTGCCTCGTACGTCGAATTTGTCATTCGAGCTAATTGCAATTCTCGAGAGATTTCCCTCGAATTCATCAAATTATTGCTTCGTTGGGAAACGTACACGTGTGACATGCGCCTTTAGAGACGCTTGTTAGCGCAGGCAAGATTGACACGTCGGTCGCAATTAAAATGTAAGGGGGTGCGCGGCAAATTGCGTATCAAGTTAGAGGAGTCGGACAAGGAGGGCGAGGCACACTCGTATTATCAGTGGTGAAATCAACTAATTAGAAATTGCGTAGACCGCTCGTTAAAGATTGCCCCGCCGACCGTAATCGCCAATTACTCTCTTAGTGCGGACTGTAGTGAACTTCGCTCATTAAAATTATTAAACGCCGCGAGCGATGGGGCTTCGTATTTGATGTTTCTGCACGGCGCGACGTATTGTAGATCACCGAATTTTTACGATCCGCTCGCCGAGACGTAGGGAATGTGAAATACAAATTATAAATTATATATTTTCGCCGTGGCTCGGACGATTTTTTAACCGGGGAGAATGTACATAATAAAACACAAATTGCGCGCTGTACGCCAACATGCGCGAAGAATAATTAGCTAAAAAGTTATCCTTTAGCGTTCAATATTTTATTTTAATTAAATTTTTTGTCGAGGGAGAAAAAAAAGAGATATCCTCGATCATCAGCTATATAATTCCTCCCATCCGTTCTAGCTGATTGACTTGACTGACGGTCTCTAATTAGCAATTATAGAGAAATCGAAAACGCGAAGTGATTGGCCTGAACGGCACGCACCTTCGCTCATTAAACTCGCGAAAGATACGGAGCCCGGAAGTACATATACGGTCAAGACTGATAAAGACGCGGTCGTAATTAAAACTTGCCACACTCGACTCATTTACGGGACGCCTGATACGAGGCGCGCCGAGAAAACACTGGCCTTTGATTAGGATCTCGCCGTGCGCGCGATGAGCGGTATATCTTTAATATCTCTTTACGTAACGCAAGACTAATCAGCAGTTAATTGGTTTGCAGGAAATTGAATCAATCACATGGTGAGGATTCCGATAACATCGCAGTTGCTAAACAATCATTTTCAAACTCACAACTCGAATGCACGATACCTCGTATGCGATTACCCATATTTAACAATGCGTGAAACGCTACGTATACGGCATATTTTACTTTCTTCAATCATATCGGCACGCGAAAGCAACATCGCGCTCGAAAGAACTTCGGAATTTATATATTACTGTTTTCTTGCTCGGAGAAGTATAATGAAGTATAATGAATTCAGCGTGTTGTTGACTATTAATATTAATGTAAAAAAAAATTTTTAATGAGGACCTTTAAAAAACAGCACTCTCGTAGATTTTTTTTTAGCAATCAACTTTATCAACTTCTCACGCAATATAAATTTTCGTACTTAAAAAAGTGACATTTATCTCTATGAGATAAACACTATATATGCGAAACCACTCTCAAGATTTAACGCCGAAGAGGTGTTTCATGACGAGAACTTTACGCGATAATTCTTGCCTTCGTTCGAATACGAGACGAAACATGGCGATTGAACCGCAATTTCACGACTTTCCTTTGGACACTGAACGGACAGAACGCGAATTTGTTTGCATGCACATTTTCCGGCGAAAGGAACGAGCATGTATAATTGAGGTATTTCGAACAATCGAAGACAAACCGTGGAAAAAAAAATACAGGAAAGAGAGAGAATAAAATGAAAAGAATTGAAACGTCATTCGGCGAGCAATCATCGAGATACTGGCTGTTCTAGCGCGATCAGCCAGATCCCGGACAGATAAATTAGCAATTTAATTATAGAACTGTCAGCCGGTAATTAAATTAATAACGAGAAACCTCAAATCCAATCCGCTCCGTCGTCGTAACAACCTTATGCGCGCTCTCGAGCAAAGTCTGACGCAAATATCGATACGCCGATTCTCTATCGCGTGTTTCAAAAGTTGATTTAATTAAATATTTTATTAAAGTTAAATTAAGGAATCCGGTTTTTTAACTTTGCGCGACGTCCGTCCGAGCACTCAATCGCGAGTGTGTCGTTGGATCTTTTCCGGATCTCGGCATGATGCGTCGATATGAAGGTTCAGTTCTTGAACTCGGGAAAGACATTGGAGTGCCGGTGCATCTCTCTCTCTCTCTCTCTCTCGCGCGCGAAAGAATTCCCGCTTATGCCGTTGGTCATGAGAGACGTGAAATCGTGGCGTCCGCTTCGAATCTCCATTCGGCATACCTATGTATCGTTACATGGCTAATTGCTGCATAAACAGCCGACTTTACGAGCCGACGGGTATACGGCTGACAACCGCTTCGCAAACATTAACTGCCATTAATGAGGATACGAGCGAGCGCGCGCACGCACATCGCCGCGGCGCGCCGGTATTGGAACTCTGTGTGCACACGTCAGCCTGCGGGCGAAATTGTTAAAAATAATCGGAGGATCCACCACCATAATCGGACACCTGTCACCGACGCTCTCAGCGACCGATGCTCCGGCCTCGGATGGCCGCGTCGAATTTGTCTAATGCGCTTCGACGTACCGCATATTTATGCGATTCTTCCAAATCGCCGGATTCGCAAATGTCACGAATCCTCGGATTTTAATCTAATCGCAACTCTCTCCCTGTTTTTGTTGCAGAATGTTCGGCAGCAGCGGCGTCTGCGGGAGCTGCGGTAACCAAATACCCGCGAGCGAACTGGTGATGAGGGCCGGCGAATCGGTATTTCACTTAAAATGTTTCAACTGCAATAAATGCGGCGGTCAACTCGTTTCCGGCGACAGGTAGGCATCACTTTTTCCATCTTGCCGCAATGAGATCTATCTGAAGTGAAGAAGTAACAAGCTCTATACATGACACACGAATCTCATGATTTCAGATATTATTTAATGTCGGGCTCGCCGGTCTGCGAATCCGACTGGCACAAAATTGTGAAGGCGACGGGCGTCGGTGCGGCGACGGCCGCGACGGGCGGCAACAGCGGCGCACCCGTTAGGAAAGGTAAGGTCGGCAGGCCTCGAAGGAGCCGCGAATGAGGCGGCAACCCGGTCGGTCGCCCGAAGAAGGTGCAACCTTCTCCGCAGCCGACGCCCCCCGTCGTCGTACCTTCGCCACAGGTAGACGTTGTGGACGTCGCAGTCGGGATGGATCCCTATTCGCCGCCTCCGCCGGGTCATCAGCATTATCACCATTATCACCATCACCACCATCATCAGATGGCACTCGTGCATCCGGGTCTGGCGGCCCAGCAATCGCACCTGCAAGCGTCCAGCTATCAGGACTGGTCGCCCTGGGCCCAGGATACCTGTGACTGAAACTGTTCGCCGCAGAGCCGGGTCGAATTCCAAGGGACGTCGCGATGAAGCAGCAACAGCAGCAGCAGCAGCAGCAGCCGCCTGCCTGCCCATTGTTGCGAGTCCAGGTTCCCCGGAGAAATCGCCAAGAGACGAGGTGGGGGCGACTCCTCCGCGTAGTCCGTCACCCGCCGTCGGCGATTCTACAAATCGAGTGTCTCTGGATTTTGGCGCCGTGATATTGAACGTGACTTGAACTCAAACTTGACGGCAGCCGAAACGTTTTGCCAGCTAGGCACCACGTGATGTTGAACGTAATTGAACTTGCCGCGGATACCGCGAGCGCCACTGCGCTCTTGACGATGTTGGTGTGTCGAGTGCGTCCAAATTTGGCGCGGATACATCGAGAATATACGACTCAATGATCATTGACCGTCTTCGAACTTGAATGATTTGTAGCTGTAAATATCTCTCAACTTGACACGGGCACTGCTTCGGTCTCGTTCTGTCTTGCGGATATATCAATTACGAGTCTGAGAGCGCCTAAAAGTCCAATGATGTTGAGTTGAATTTAGCAATTTACTTTTTATTTCTTCAGAAATAAGAAATATTGGAAGCGTCTGTGACAAATTGAGATGACACTTGACACCGCATTGCAAAAGTATCTTTGCCATAGGTCCGCCGGTCTTCTTAATAATAATTTTTGCTCAATTGTAAAAAAAAAATCGAAGAAAGTCTAAAGTGCGACTCATCGTGCGTATACCACCAGCCGCAGTAGTGACGTCAGTTTTCTTCTTTAAAACTCTTCGCAACCATCCTGTTAGGATAATCTCGACACAAGATGTGGAATGTAGAATTCGTTGAATGGCACTTGCGATCGGCGCATTCTTTCACGCATCTGCAAATGTCTAAATAACTTTTATCGACGCGTCATTTTCAAACTCGTCGCCGAATTGTCTCGGTGTTCAAGACTCTACGTTATTTTATTTCGGAATAATTAAGCCATTAATACAATTTGTTGTCATTTTGTTCAAATTTTCGCAAGTCCGCACTCGATTCCTTGCTGTCGCCTGTTCGAAGGAAACATCAGCAACAGAATGGCACAGACTTCTGTATAGAAAATCCAAACCACTGTCATCTGTGAGAATTTAGTCGAAAAATTAACGCTAGGTGCAATTAGCAATTATGCGGCAACAATTATATTTCGAAAATGCAAGTGTATCGATTATTTAAATGTCGTTTAATAATCATCAAAAGAACTTGTAACTTTTGAAATATAAATTATTTTAACTAATATTTCCTCCAGTTTGACGAATACTGTATGCTTGTAAAATTTAGTTGCCACTTTTTATCAGCATTCTGTACAGAAGTCTGTGCTGAATCCAACACGTGCGATCGAAGGATCTAATCACGTAAGAAAGACAGATGGCAATCGGAAGCAGAGGGAGAGAGAGAGAAAGAGACAGAGATAGCGGGGGGCGAAGGGGGGGATAAATCGACGGCGATCGAACAAGAGACGCGCGAAGCGATGACGGCGCGCAGTTCTGGACCCTTAGAAAATTATTTTTCTTTCAAAATTATCGTATCTGTCGATCCGCCGCCGCGCTCCGTAAACTCATTAGGCGGCCCTTGTTCCCGCCATCGTTAATTGAGTGCCGAGGTGAGACGAACGACACGGAATTATCATTCGAATCCTCCTTGTTAGGTACCCGCGTCACCTTGCTTTTCCCTTTCCCGCTTTTTTCTCCCCAGCACTTCTTTCTCTCTCTCTCTCTCTGCCTCTCCTCCTCTCCCCCCCCTCCTCTCTCTGTCTCTCTCTCGAGAATTCGCCATTCTCAAAGCAGCATAATCAATTAAATCTATTGTACAAGACAAAATCCGTTCTTCGCTGCGGCAGTGTTTCCGACACATCCGGATTAAATTATCGTAAGTCTCTAATCGTAAGTATATTACGATGTTACATATAGAACGGGAAAATCATGTAAAAGTGATTGAGACGTCGTTTTCCTGGAGAGAACAAAGCTCAATTATTCTGAAGAATATGTCCCCGTCGTTTAGCGAAGTCTACGTTGTGCATTGGTTATTAAAATTGTCAATATGCAGGTTGTCTACAGAAATGCGTCTGCCAGTAACGACGCTGCAAGCTCTTCGCGAAGGAGTGTCGATCCTTCTGTTGGGATTTCTTTCTTTGTCGCGGTTGGAAAATTCTCGATCCTTCGTTCGCGATTCTTCCGCGAAGAGGCGATCGCGCGTTACTGGCGCACGGACGTTCACAATATCCCCCGTTGCACGTACACGTTAGTGACATAACTCGCGGCAAAGCAAGAAATGACATTGACGCAACGTATGCTCGAAGCTCAAAGTACAACGGATTCACGAGCGGTGAATTTCGGCGCGAGATGTATGTATCACGAGAGCGAAATTGCCCTGTTTTAACTCGTTTTATTCGTCAAATACTCCTGCTTCAACTCTCGGGAAGGTGGACGTGGGCGGCAGGCGATGGTTGGATTAATTTCGAAAAGTACCTCGTGATGGAAAAAAACCGAGCGTGGTGATGTCTGTAAATTTAAATATTCTTTCTTTTTAAAGCATTGTCATGTACCCGCTATAAATAGACATATTTTTCAGATGTATTTGACGTTTGCAAACATTTGACTCGCGGATCCAGCCGTCGCCAGACGAGAGGGGTCAAACGTTGACCCCGTACACGTCGCGCGGATTGCCAATTAAGCATCGTTCACACTTGGAGAGTTCGCCGAGACTTGTCGCGAGTAAACTTGTGTGTATCAAGGAGACGTCGCGCATGGATAAATTGTCCGAACAAAAGCGATGCTTAAGAACTTGTATGATATAATAGCGACTCGACAGGTATTTGAATTCTTCATTTTTAGTGGACCACAGGCGTTCCTTTTTAATCGTAAACACTTCGTTCTAAGAAAGAATGTATGTATTTAGTATGCAACAAATTATGATCTCAAGACGTCGCAACGTCTCGCGGCCCTCTAAAAATTTTAAGGACCGTAAAACAGTGCGACATCTCGAAATCAGTACCATATCTTGCGTAAGCCGCACATTAAATACATTCTTTTCTAAAGTGAAGCCTTTACGGTTAAAAAAAAAAAAAAGAGAGAACGATCCACTGAAGATTAAGGACTCAAACTTCTGCGAAGCGCTCGAATCGCGATGAGAACAATTACTAGTCGACGCCGAACGACACCGCAAAGGATCGAAATCGATTTCTGTCTAACATGACTCTGCGGGCAAACGATGCTGACAGAGAAAGTGAGAGAAAAGTAGTATATACAGAATAGTATATACAATGTACATGTAGGTTAGACAAGGAGTCACGCTGATGGGTTATATCAAGGGTGCACAAACTTTTTCGGCATCAACTCGGATGGACGAATATTGAATTTGCGGCAGATTTCCCACTGCAGATGCATAAATATATAGATCTGTAAGCAGCAGACGCGTTATTCTAATTTTTACCTTTATCCTTAACTCGAGAATATATAAGTTACATCTAATTAGAGAATAAATTTGTTCAGTTCGAACGGGCTTGTGTCTGTTTTATTATTTGTTCTCATTTCTTCGTCGTATCGGATTGCGCCGGGTCGAGCCGAGAGTCCGTTCGGACCGAAGTTTGTGCATCGTTGGATTGTGTAATTTTGTATATAGGGTACATTTTGTATATTGTTAAAGTATATTGTGTGATATAATGGTTATGTATTTACTATCGAGCGCGAACGACGAACGGGTCTGCCGCGTGTTATTCTACGGGGCGATTAACCGACACGCGACACGTTATGGTTTTTCGCGGTCCTGCATTGTTGAGTGCGTCGCGCAGTGTCGTCCGCCATCAGCGATTATAGCGCGGATAATGAATGATTCCGGCTTTTCCTCCGATCAGCTTGTTCACCGCTAATTAATCATCTCATCGAATTATCTGTCTCGACGAATGTAACATTACATTATTTTGCAATCTGTATTTACATTTATTGACACGCTTCTTTAGAGTGTAATCTCAAAATTGACGACGTGAATGCTCATTCATTATCAAATGATTCTCGAATCATTCCGAGACATTGTTGTTTTGTCGCATAAGCCGATTCGCGCGACCGCACCGTCGCGCGGAGATATCGCAATTTGTTCTCGTAATTCGCGCGAAACAGCAAAGCCCAAGGACAATCGTACGAAGCTCGCGGAGCAGAACGAATCGCACGCGTGTTGATACTCGGAGGATCTCCTAATCGCGCGGACTGGATTGCGCGCACACTGCGTGTCGCAGTTGGCACTCGGCGGGCCCGGAAGTGGACGCGCGAGCACGGAAAATCCCCGGCCGAGTGACACGCGCGCGGACCATGACTCAGTCCCACGCACGTCTAGTTAATTTTGTTATTTGATTTATCTCGGACTCTTCATATTCGGGACCCGACATCCTGTATGTGGTTTCGCGGCCTCTTGTAAAATACAATTACACATGAAACACAACTATACGAACACGTTTATTAATTAATAAAATCACAAGTTTTTAGAAAACGAGTTCGTGCTCGTGATCATTGATTTCCCTCCCCGCTAGTCCCCCGGTCCTCAAATTACATTCATGCGCCATGAATATTTAGCGGCGCTTAAGGATTAAGCGGACTCGTAATATTTCCGCGTATTACAGTGACGACTGCGACGGGCGAGGAAGGAAGGAAGAAAGGAAGGAGAGAGAGAGCACGCGCTTAATTCGATTAGCGCGAACCGATATCGGCAGAATGGTGATTTCTAATTCCTTCTACTCCCGAGTGGCTGAATTAATTCGAATGATTCGAATGTTTCGACGCGGCACGCCGCCGCGTTTTCAGCCAGCTCCTTGGCAATGCGCGCGCGACCCGACATTCTCTAGTCGGATAGGTATTTAACGGACGTACACGTGTCCGACCATATTGCGTTCGTGTCGTTCGATAAATAGGTGGCTAAGCAACTCCAACGGAAACCCGTGTTAATTAACGTTGAGTTTCAGGACTGATTTACGTGGCGTCTAATTAGCGGGCCTGCCGACGACGTAGTAGGCATTTTGATTGGCCGCACCGCGAATAGAACGCGCGGCCCGATTGCCCCGCTAGCGTGTCATATCGATTGTTTTCGTTTCTTCCTCCTTTCTTCTTCTCTTGCCGGTCTCTCTTTTTGTTCGTTCTTAAAAACAAAGGCCAAGTAGATGCGCCAAAGCGGCGAGCGAAACGAGACTGCTCTCCGACGCTCTGAAACGCGACGCGATCGCGAGTGCGCGTGGGCGCACATTTCATATTTTATTCCTGACAAATAAATAAGAAAAAAGTATTGAGACCATTTTTTGAATTGAAAAAAATATATCAGTTTCTGATTTCTCTCATTATTCGGAATAATCTTTTCACCGGTAAATAGAGAACCGAGGCTGGCTTCATTACGCGAAAGCGAAAGAAAAGGAAACTTTCCTCGCTAATTAAGCCGCGTGCTACCATCGCATTTAATCCTTTATTTGCCGGCAGTCTTACGTTTACAAGCGTATCAATTAAATCTGAAATTAAATAAGCGCGTTTGTGTGTGCGCGCGATTATACGCGATCGTTAATTATGAGCGCATCATTCACGTAATTCATTAACTTCTTCGGACCGTGCTTTTTCTACAGATTGGTAATAGCGCGTCTTTATGTAGCACGTAGTAAATAATTGCGAGAGTACGAACGCGGCGAAAATCGAATTGACGATAGACGCACGCAGATTTTCGCGATCTTCAGCACGGACGATGATGCATTTTGAAACGTCAAGCGTGTGTAGTTTCTTGAAGTTTTGCGGCAATTAACAGTCGACGGCGAATAACAAACTGAATTTAATTAATTGCATAACTGCGAGCAGAGGCAGTACCCTCCCTCCCTCCTTTCCCTCTATCTTCCCCCCCACACTTCTAATCGAAGCGGGTACATATTGTTGCACCCGTTGCGCTCTGCCCCTCATCAGCCCCACCGGCAATTAATTATAGCATTCCAGGTTAGCCCGGGAATTAATTACGTCCAGAAGTTGGACGCTGGCGAGGGATCGTTAGAAGTCGTCCTTCGTTAGAGTTAGGCGGGCATGGGTCCAGGTAATTATTGATAGTCTTCTACCGGCCCTTTATTGTGCCGATAACGCGAGCCCGAGCGAGCTTAGAAGGGCCATTGCGCTGATATTTCGAATTTTCTGGGCGAGAAAATAACAGCGCGCAAACGTGCCGCTGATAATTGGATTTCGCTAGCAGCGCTGCTAAAGCTGTAAAGTGCTGGTTAACAGAATTAGAATAATTTTGCTTTTGAGACGATCTTAATCGCACGAAACGAAAATAAATTGCGAGTTTTCAATAATCAATTTTTTTTTGCAAGTATTTGCGATTTTCTAATTTTTTTTAAGGTTTTTATATTTTAATAATAATTAATTATCCAGTAAGCAAAATGCTCTAGCTGCGCTGCTAAAACTGTAAAATGCTCGTTTACGAAATTAGAATAATTTTGCTTTTGAGGCGATTTTGATTGCTCGGATTTGAAAGAACATGAGATATTCGGCAAAAGTTCTGAAAAAGCGATGGTATTAATTACCATATCGATGTCTTATTGATTAACGTATTAATACACGATATTGCACAACACTCTGTGGTGTGATCCGCGACTGTCTCATATCGCGAAATCTTTTCTTTACAGCGCGTGTGACAGATAGCGGGGACTAAAAGATGAAAAAAAGAAAAAAAGGGAGGGAGATCCGGAGAGACAGAAGAGTAGTTGCGCGAGAGAGGATCGGTTGACACACCGGCAAGGCAATTATTATTGTGAGTGGTTGGCGATGGGATACCAATGATATTTTATTTAAGAAACAATCGGGTAATAGCTCGCTTCAAGAGGATAGATAACGCCGCGCACGGTAGAGACCGAGCGGGGAAAAGTTGTAGCGAGATAGAGAACGAGCTATGAGTAAAGAGAATTACAGAGGAGTGCGTGGAGGAGTAAGAGGAGGATGAAGAGGAGGATTGGAAATGGTGGCGGCAAGGAGAGCGCGGAGGGGATGGAAAAAGGGAAAGATGAGAGAGAAGGTAAAAGGTGAACTTTGAGGCGAGCTGGTATCAGGGTAGCTCTACATTAGCGAATTACCCGCGCGTAGATCCCTCGGCGATGAACAATAAATACAGAGTGATACGGAAATATTGTTCAAAGGTTTCGATAAATTTTGAAAAATCGGTAAATGTCGGAGGAAGGATTATCAGCGGAAAATCGACCTGGAATAGCGTACAAATTTTTACCTTTTATTCCAGGCATGCTCGAGAGAATCAGTTTTAATCTCTTAACTATATTTAAACACTCGGTCTGGAAAGATTCTGCTATTAAAGCGATTTGTACGGAGCGTCTCGTAATCATAGCGACTCTCTCTCTCTCAAAAATATTCGCAAGATAAAAAATTATTATCACAAATTATTACAATTATTCCTTTCCTTGAGAAATCGTATTAATAGTTGCAAAATCTACTTACGCATAGTTATCTCTATGATGTCCTCGTTTCGAATACTGACAAAAATAATTCCGGCTTCGCTGTTGAAGGATATAGTACTACCATCTAGCGACTGGAGGGTACAATTATTTGGTAACTTTTGTGGCTGATACCAGGCTTATCTTGAGAAGATAAGCGCGATAGTATTTTCATCGCTGGATGGTAAAAGTTCAAAACGTACCTGGACGCGGAAATATTCAAGGTAGGCTACCGTTAGATGGCAATACCATGAAGAAAGTCCTAAACGCAATGAGACACCTGCAAGCATAACCGAACCGCACAGTCATTTGGGCTTAGCGAAGGACCCGAGCTCACACACTGCAGTCGTACATACACTTGAACTCATATTTACACATACACACAGTGATTAAGAGTTTTAAAGGAGAAATAGTTTCAAAGTGTGAATTAGATTCGGATAACGTGTACGTCTGAGCTTGTTGTAAGCGACGGCCAAATAGGCTCTTTATATTTATATTTTATGTCAGTTAAAAGAAAACGCAATAAGACTTCTAAAACAATGAACATTTCTTAAATTAAATCTCTGTGATTAAAATTTTTAATCTCTGTTTTAAATGTTTAATTCTACAGTAATAATGCATGAATTTAAAATACGATGCACACGCTGAATTGTACAAAAAATACTTCAGTCGCCGGTGTAATTTTTTTTTTTTTTAATTAAAGTAAAAAGTTTCTTGGTACTTTTATAAGAATTATA